ACTCAAGAGATGCCGTGGAAGCTAACGCCGTCGCATGGGCCGCTCCGCTTCTTGTGGCCGATGATGATGGCGCCGGTGACGTAGAGAAAGAGGATGGTGACGATGAGAACAGTCATGATCACCGGCCATGAAGAGATTGTCGCACCAGTCATCTTCTTCATGAAGTCACTGCCGCCGATCCTGTCACCGTGGATGGACTCGCCGCTGGAAAAACATGCGAGCTCCATTGCAACCGTCATTCTCTTCGACAGATAAAGGTCATGCCGCCGAAAAACTCAAGAGATGCCGTGGAAACTAACGCCGTCGCATGGGCCGCTCCGCTTCTTGTGGCTGATGATGATGGCGCCGGTGACGTAGAGAAAGAGGATGGTGACGATGAGAACAGTCAGGGCAATGGAGTTGGCAGAGTAACGGTGAGAGTGAAACGGTCATGAAGCCAAACCGGCCGGGTTTTTCAAATATCGGGTCTTCGGACTCACCTCGGAGGGTTAAAACGGTGACAAGTCCGGCCGTCGGGTCGCAATGGACGTCATACCAGTTCTGGCTCTCAATCTCTTCTATTCCTCTCTGGAAGGTAAAAGCTTGCACTGAGCTTGCTCTCTCTGAAAGTATGTTTCTCTCTCTAGCTAACTTGTAGAGACATGCATATATACATATAAATATATTTACATATACATCATGCAACACATATCATGCAAACCCGTTTTTCAAATGGGTATTGGGCCATAGTTTAAATTAAGTTGTAAGTCAAAATAAGTACTGACATATGCTTAATTAAGCACGTGAATGAGCCTTGTTGTTTCATCTTGAAGGCTGGTTGTTTGGGAGCTCAATGCATATCTTTTTAGATATAGTTATGTACAACACGCAACCAATGCAGACATGGTTGGTTTGCTTCAACTAACCGTGGCCTCTTGTAAATATAAACATGTGAGAATATAAATATGCATATATATATATATATATATATATATATATATATATACACATATATATTTATATTAGCTCTATACAAAGCACAACCACTTTATTGTCAGAACAAATGGATTTGGAGCTCAATGTACGTCTTTATCTGCAATTTAAATTGACAAGACAAGAGAGAAACAAACCCCAAAACCATGTGCTCAATAACATGTCAACAGATACGGGTTGCACTCAAGTGAAGAACACATTACCCTGTGGCTTAAGGATGTATAATAAATCTCATTTGCTGACACATTGATTTCCAATACCCGAATTTATTCTTTATATATCCTTGGATTTTTAAGCTAGCCTATTTTTAGGCGGCTCCAAGTACATTCATAGCCCTGTGGCGTTTTCATTGGGTACAGTATTTCGCCAGCTAAGCCTAGTTAATTGCTCTATATATATAACGCTTGACTCTACCAAGCATTGTCAACACCATATCCAACAAAACCCTCTGTAGCTTCGCCACAAAAATTGCAGAACATCTCTGTGAAATTTGCCCAATAGTTGCATGTTTTTTTTCAAATTAAAAAAAAAAACTCCACAGCAGAATGCTAGCTCGTCTTGTCCCACAATCAAGAAATATATCCAGCGCACTTTAAAGACCATTTCTTCTTAATAAAGCTTCATCGTAGAGAACACAGCTTTATTTTCTTTCCTTCAGAATCTCGGCGATGGGTGGTAATAAAAACGTAACGATCGTTGCTGAGAATACGTCAATTCCGGCTAGTAACAAATCTTCCAGTCAAGCCGGGATTGTTCAAAAACTCGTCAACGAGATCATCGCTACAGATATTTTCAGCACTAGTGAAGTGTTAGCCAGTGTCCTAGGTGCTGACTCCTTACCTAGAATCGGCCTTACTCCAGCCTTCAGAGATAGTCCACCAACCTCACTTCTTCCCTACTGTCCCTTAGCTGAGGAGCAACTCCCATTTCAGCGCGAGTTCTCTAATCTTGTGGATTCTTCCTACCTTTTCAAAAATTGGCCGATCCCTCAAAGTGACTGGATTGATTGGGTCGATCGGGTCGAACCTCACTACGGAGCATTATGGAAGGAGGTCGGCATTTATGATGCCATCATTCTTTCAAAAAATCGAATCTCTATCGATAAGGAGGCTCTCGTCTCATTACTCTTTTTCTGGTCGAGTTCCACCAATGCCTTCCATCTTCGGTGTGCTATGATTGGTCCGACGGTGCAAGATATCTGTTTTCTTACCGGGCTTAGGCCTCACGGTACAGAAATAAATTCACTTCTCACCGTTCCTGAAGTAGCTTATGAATATCCAAAGAAACCTGACGCTTCTGAGCGCATTACTACCCATGGCCCTTTTATTAAAGCCAGCAAAGGTAAAGGAACTTCGGTTTCCATCGCCGAACATATTTCTTTCTTGGTGTACTGGCTGAACAGGTTCTTATTTTGCATTTCTTCGCTCACAGTCACTAAGGAATTTATTCAATTGGCCCTTGCTCTTCACTCGGGCGAGAAACTTGCTCTCACTCCTTTTTTGCTTTCTTATCTTTACCGTGGCATCGGGGAATATGTTGCTTCCAACTTCAAAACCTGTTTTGGGCCATTCTGGCTGTTACAACTTTGGGAATACGCATATTTCCCTGAACTTTACCCCGATCTCGACTTGTCGACCGCTGTTCCTGTTCCCGGCTATCATTATGCACGTATTCAACCAGGAAAAAGATCGTTCAAAACCGTGTTCTCCTTCTTTTACAAACTCCCTGCATACCGGGCTAGTCATCTTTTCTTGCCATTCTCGCCTAGACCGAGGCGACCTTTGTGGCTTTCCTATCCCCCTGCCTAGGCTCCACCGAGTTGCCAAGACGAACATACACAAACCTGGGCCAGTTTCTTGATTGCTAGGGACATCTCTTATGGATGTTCAAGAATGGGCTCTCCAAATAGTAAGTGTGGGGTGGAGTATTACAATCCCCCACAATTTGGTAGACAATTTGGTCTCACCCAACTCGTTCCACTTCCGCCTTTTCGATCTTTCAATACTTCTTTCTTGGAACGAGTAGTCTTCACCTCAAAAGAAACGGTGGATAGAGTATCCTCCCAGTTTAACCGTCTCTGTAACAAATTCTCTTTGCAGCCATTTCTGGAAAATCCTGATACTTCTCCATCCTTTGACTACTGGTGGGGAAACCATATTGTGGAGGTTATGATGGAGGATTCTCGCACTATAAAAAATAGGATTGCCTCCATTTTTATTAAACCCCAAGGAGCCTCGACCAAACCATCAAAAGGGATCAGTGTGGCTAATCCTGGTTCTCCCAGCAGGACGAAAAAATCAAAGTCGTCCAAAGAAGGTACACACTCATACTTACATATATATAAATACCAAGTTCTATGCCTTAGATCATAAAAACATCTTTTCCTTTATGCAGCTGTTGACTTCTATGACCCATTGGGAGTTTCTGATCATGAGGCGGAAATGCCTGAGGCTGACGAGGAAAATGTGGTGCCCCCCAAGAGGCCTAAGGTTTTCCTTATGAATTATTCAAAGCATAATCTCTTAGACCTTTAGCTTACTTATATGTACCACCTATATACCCCTTTTTTAACCTCAATGGTATTCCAGGTGATCAGGGCAGGGAAAGGAAAAAAATAGGTTACCTCAGTCAGGACCACCAACCCTTTACCTCTGATTGATGAAGAGGAGGAAGAAAATCCTGACCCCTTGATGCCATCGACTTTCTCAGTTAAGACAAATATCTCTACCAGCCGTGAGGTAACTAGGCTTTGTTTTTACTCCCAGTATCAATGTACCTTGCCGATTCTAATGGCATCTTTATGGACAGGTTTCCTCACACTCGGCTAGGTCGTTGTCAAGAGATAGGATCAACACTTGTGATGACATTGCGAATGCTGATCACCCTCGCACTAGTGGAGTCGAGTGTCAACAAGCCACTACTCAACCAAACACTGTCTTTCATCAGTTTGATGGGGCTGAGGTGATTTTTAAGATGATCTTTTAGTACATCTCCCGTATATCTTTATTAAAGTTAGGCATTCAGAAACATTCTTCTCTTGCAGGTTGCCCCGGGCACACAACCAAGAGTTCCAAGCCCTTACTCTGCACCAGCGTTTGCTACCAGATGCACCTTTGGCCACGTGACTCGACCTTCACCAGTTGGTGTGAGTATTTATGACTTATTCGTTCATTCAAGCCTTGACTTGTTTTACTAAATTCCCTTCATTCATAGGCTGGCTCAAATTCTCAGTCCCAACCGCCCCTTCAAACTTATAGCACGATCGATGACTTTGATGCCTACTTTTCCAAGATAGCGGCTGGGTTTGATCTAGATCCCTTGATGAGCGAGCCAGTTGTTGTGCCTACGTCTTCCAGTCGTCCGCCAGATATTGAGGGGGTAAAAAGATTACTAGTCGCCGTCGTGTCCCGAGACCTCTCTGAGATGCCAAGTTTGGCTGCTGATGTGACTGATGCCATGTCTGTCTTGATAGATCATCATGACTTAAGTCAAGAACAGATAAACCATCTTCAATCTATCCAGAGTCAATTCCCGACTCTCGTCTCTGATTTTCAGCTCTCCTCTCAGAAGGCTGGTGAGCTGTCGTCTACAATCCATGAAAAGTTGCAGGAGCAAGAATCTTTGATTCAACAAGAGAAAGACAATGTTTCCCATTTTCGGACCTTAAAATTAACTCATGTTAAGGAAAACCAGAGAGCAGCAGAGATCGAACGGGAGATAGAACGTCTCAAGATGGAATTGACTGGAACTGCCTGGTCAAGAGAAGGACTCACTATTCAGATGAAGGAGATTTATCAAAAGAATGTGAAAATTGATCAGCAGAGAGAATCGGTCTCAAAAGAAATTCCTCAACTGAGGACTAAGAAGGCCAAAGAGGATGAAAAAATGGCCATGTCTAAGAAAGAGTGGGATGAGCTCAGGAGTCATTTTGTTTATCTGCAAAGAAAATGATAGGTAATGACTCTTATAAACTTTTGTACTCAATGAAAACAATGAATGAAATGCATGTCTCTATGGCTTCTGGTTATTTAACCATCTTTGGTTTTATTTTCCATTGTCTCCCACATTGTAGGATAATAAGTTTTTAAGTATCGGCCATTAATCGGTCGAGGGTGTATTTCCCCGTCAAGATCTTGCAAATGATATGCGCCTCCTTTTAAGACTTTGTAAACCATAAATGGACCTTCCCAATTTGGTGACCATTTTCCATATTTTCGATCATTCACACCCATTGGGAAGACAGTCTTCCAAACCAAGTCACCTTCACCGAAGATTTTGGCCCTAACACGCTTGTTATATGCCCTTGCTACTCGCCTCTTCTGAACTTGTATGTGGTCAAGAGCCCTTAACCTTACTTCATCTAGGTCCTCCAATTCAACCAACATAGACTCATTATATTCAGCAGGGGTCAAATTATTTTGCAATGCGAATCTCATTGACCGCACAGTCACTTCCATAGGCAAAACTGCATCATGGCCATAGGTGAGCATGAATGGAGTCACACCTGTGCTTGACTGTTGAGAAGTCCTATATGCCCAAAGTGCTTCTGATAACAGTTTATGCCACACCCTAGGGTTATCTTCCACTATTTTTTCAATGATGCCTTTTAGCGTCTTATTAGACGACTCAGCTTGACCATTTCCTTGTGCAAAGTGAGGGGTTGAGTTTAGGAGCTTGATCCCGTACTCTGCTGCAAATGCCCGCACTTCTTTGGCAACAAGGGCTGAACCTCGATCAGTTGTGATTGGTTCTGGGATCCCAAATCTATGAATAACATGTTGTTTGATAAACCGAATCACATCTTCTTGGTGCACTGACTTCATGGGCACTGCTTCGACCCACTTGGTAAAGTAGTCAGTTGCCACAATGATAAAACAATGTTGTTTAGAAGAATGTGGATAAACTTTCCCTATCAAATCCATAGCCCAGCCTCTAAAAGGCCATGGTTTTATGATTGGTTGTAATTCAATCGCAGGGGCTCTATGGATTGGCCCATGCCTTTGACATGCTTGACATCCTTTGGCGTATGTGATACAATCTTTAAGCATCCCGGACCAGTAATAAGCGTACTATCTAATCAGCCACTTCATTTTTATTCTAGCTTGGTGAGCACCACATATCCCTTCATGGGTCTCTCCCATTACTTTCATGGCTTCTTTCTTACTAACACACCTTAAGAGTAGGTCATCTTTAATGCTTTTCCTGAATAGGTCTCCATCAATCATCACAAACTTAAGAGCTTTGATCTTTACCTTCTTATCAGCCTTAGGGTCTGGATTTTTGAGAAAATCGACGATTGGTGTTCTCCAATCATTCTCTTCTATATCCTCTTCCACCTCGATTGCAAAGACCTCTGCCAACAATTCTTCCCTCACCTTAACTGAAGGTAATGATCTTCTCTTTATTCTGATCAAATTCTCCATTATTCCTTCTGGCACCCTAACGCCAGATGTTATTTGAGCCAAATCATTGGCCTCTTTATTATGCAATCTATAAATATGCTTGACCTTTACCTTTGCAAATTCTTGTAGTAATTGCATGGCTATAGAGTGAAATGGTTTGAGGTGCCAACTTTGGCACCTGAAATTGCTGGACAACTGACCGATCACTAGACTTGAATCACCTATGATTTCAACGGTCTGTGCCCCCATCTCTAAGAGTATTTCAAGACCAATAATCAGAGCTTCATATTCTGCTTGATCGTTAGAACATTTGAAATCTAGAAAGAAAGAATATGTTGTTTTCCTGCCATTTGGTGCAATTATTACAACTCCAGCTGTAATACCCCTAATTTAACAAGGATAATTCTGGAATTTATTTAATTATTTAAATTGTGTTTTATTGATTTAGTTGAATTTGTTTATTTAAATTGTTATTTAGTTGAATTTTTGTTTTGCTTTAATTGCTTAAATTAATTATTTGTTTTATTTTAAATTGTTTTATTTTAAATTGGTTGTTTATGTTAGTTAGTATTTATTTGAATTAAGTTAAATGTTTTATTTATTAAATTAAGGTTTTATCAGTTTAGGGAAGCCACGTATTTAGCCGACTTATTCTTTCTTCTGTCTAGTAATAGGATTAGGGTTTAATTGCACCTAGGTTTAGTTGGCCTATATATATCTGTATAAGATTGCCAAGGGTTTAGAACCCTAACCACACGTATTGGAGGCAGAAGTATCAAGGGAGTTAGGAGAAGGTAGTTCGCCGGAAAACTTAGAAGAAAGACGTTGAGATTTTTGAACCGAATCTCACAGGCAAGTTTTATTACTAACTCTATCTCTTTGGCCTGTGTTCTTTGCATTTCTAATTCAGTTCCAGGAAGAAATAAAGCTAAATTAATTTGGTTGTAATTATTTGTTTCAAACAGTATGGGTTCTTATATGTATTTTCCGTTCGTGATGAAACTGTTTGTGCTTGTTCTTGTTTTAATTGAATTTGATTAACAAGTAATGAACTTAAATAACTTTAGAGCACTTTGGGACTTAGTTTTAATCCATAGGAAACTTGGGTTGGAGGAACAAAGTTACCGGAGTTGGAGAAGAAGTTGAACAGCATGTTTCCTTGTAGGTGCATGTTAACCGTTTTTAAATTATTTTGTCTAATTCTTGTTCCCACTAAATGTGATTATTAATCAAGGAAATTAATTAACTTTTGAATACCCAAGGACTTAATTTTAATCAGCAAGAAATTTGGTTTAGAGGATCAACACAGCCGGACACCGCCGAAATTGGAAAAACGACGCACAGGGGAAGGAGCCTGCTCTATTTCAAGTAGAGCAGGCTCAATTAAAAAGTGGAGCAGGCTCTACTTGGAGATGGAGGCGGCTCCACTTTGGGTGGAGCCAGCTCCTTTGTGGGTTTTCATTTTTTTGGTTTTCTGCGAGAATGCTAGCTACTGTGCTTGGGTTAATGGGTTTCCGGGGGCAACTGAGAGTTTAATTAGAGGTTCTCAGTGATGTTTAAATTCTACTAAAACTTCAGAAGGCATGAAAATACATATTATACCATAGAAGGTTAATAGAAGGGACGTTATGAAACTGTTAAGAAAGTTTACATGGTTGCCTTGTGCGGATGATTCAAGTTGTTTAATTTTAATTTAGCAATTGAATTAGGAGTTTGATATGTAAATCATATATCAGTGGTATGGGATTAAGCCTATTAACTAATATAAATTCAGTTAATACTTAATATGAAACCAGTTGATGTTACCAAGAATTTATTTATGTCAACTTGTGGGATGTTGTGGAATAATTGCAAGTAAGCATGTATATACTATTGTTATTATTATGATGCTTATTGTGAGTTACATGATGGTTATATTTCTTCTCTGCATTTAAATTTTTTTCAGAGAATCAAGTACTAGATGTATGGAACAAGCATGCTAATTAAACATTCTTGTTATGCTTATGATTGGATATGTTGATATTGATATGTTATGCTATCATATATATATTATCAATACTGGATGGATGGTTTGTATGCACCGGTATGGGACGGTGTCATACTAGGGGGATTAGCTCAAAAATGCTAAGTCCTACCTACTCTGGATTAAGGGATGGATTAACTACAAAAGTTAAGTCCTACCTGTCTTCTGTGTTAGATCAATAAATAATTGAGTGACACTTTGGTTTGGAATGGAATTTAAATATATTTTTATGATGCCACGATATGAGCCTGAGTCTCAGAGTCGTTGGTTAGGGAGCGTATATGCATTGGGATGCATAGCTGGCTATGATGGTTAGATGTGTACCCTGCTAGGACTAGGTAGTCATGCCCACCTTTGGGTGCGTTTTCGCATGGTGCCTACTAGTCAGGTTGAGACGGGCCTGTAGTCCAGTGAGAGTCCTGTAGTGTGATTATATATATATATTTATCTACGGACTATTAGCTATTGTTGGATTGGTTAGGATGTACATGCGGATCGGGTCTCTGCTTGGGTAGTAGTAGTATAGAACTTGCATGTGGGCCTGACCCACTCATCATTTTTCAGGTATCGGGCATTGCCAGTCTAGAGCTTATTCGTGCTGAGCAGAGACGATCTTCCATTCTACCGACGACATAGGACTTCTTTCCAAATATTAGATTTGGATTGTATTTTCAGTTTTTACTTTCATTTAGTTTGGGATTTTTATTAGGGGTCCACTAGAGATGGATTCCCGAGTTGTTAAACTGATGGAGTTTTGGATTTTACTTTTAGTTTCTTCCAGCTTAAACTTTATTTATTAAATTCATTTTGTCATCTGTGTTCGTATTACATATTAGTTGTTTGATATTTCCCTCGGGTTTGGGCTTGGGCCTGATCAACCCGTGTCTCGGATCTGAGGGGTATCACACCAGCTCCTCCGACATCATTTGCGCTGGATCCGTCAAAGATTAGAGTCCAAGGAGTTAGTTGAATAGCACATAACTCCATTGCATCATAGACTCCCGGATCAACATCCAAGCATGGATGGTCAGCTAGGAAATCAGCAAGTGCTTGGCCCTTTACGGCTCTTTGAGGCACATATTGGAAACTGAATTCCATAAGGGCCAAGGACCACTTGCCTATTTGTCCAGAAATTATTGGACGAGAAAGCATATACTTAATTAAGTTAGTGGCACAAATCACATAAACTAAAACAGGTAGCATATATATTCTCAATTTGTGAGCAGCAAAATACAAAACAAGACACATTTTTTCGATTGGCATATATCGACACTCAACCGGTGTCAAAATACGACTAAGGTAATACACTGCATGTTCTTTCCCTGCTTCATTATCTTGGGCTAACAAACTTCCGATTGACTCATCCGCGGCTGAAATATATAACTTCAACGGCTGTTTCTTCCTAGGTGGCATAAGGACAGGAGGGTTAGCAAGATATCCCTTGATCGATTCAAACACATGTTGGTGATGCTTTTCCCATCGAAAGTCCTCCTCTGATTTGAGCTTTAAGAGCGGAGAAAAGGTACGGATCTTTCCAACACGGTTTGAAATAAACCTTCCCAAGTATGTGATTTGACCAATTAGTCTTTGTAACTCCTTCTTGTTGCGAGGTGGTTGAGCTTCGATGATCGCCCTAGCTTTATTCTTGTCGATCTCGATACCTCTCCGATGCACCAAGAACCCTAAAAAGTTCCCTGATATCACTCCAAAAGCGCATTTAAGTGGGTTCATCTTCAAACCATGGGTTCTTATTCTCTCAAATGATCTCCTCAAGTCGGCCAGATGTTTCACCTTTGTCGCTGATTTCACCACCACGTCGTCAATGTATACTTCTATAAATTTCCTAATCATGTCATGGAAGATTGCATTCATAGCTCGTTGATAAGTGGCTCCGGCATTCTTCAAACCAAAGGGCATCACCACCCATTCGAAAGTGCCTATGGCTCCCGGACATCTAAATGCCGTTTTGTTAACATCATCCTCTGCTATGAATATCTGGTTGTATCCTGAGTGACCGTCCATGAATGATGGAATCTCATTCTTGGCGGCCGCATCAATCAATTGATCGGCCATGGGCATTGGATACTTATCTTTTGGAGTAGCTGAATTTAAATTCCTGAAGTCTACGAACACCCTAATCTTTCCATTCTTCTTAACCACGGAAACGATATTGGATAGCCAATCGCAATACCTTGTGGTCCGGATGAATCCTGCTTTGAGCAACCTCTCAATTTCCTCCTTCACTTTCATAGTCACTTCTGTTGACATACGTCTAGGCGCTTGCTTGAACGGTTTAAAACCTTCTTTTATAGGTAGTCGATGCACGACTAGCTGCCTTTGTAATCCCGGCATCTCAGTGTAATTCCAAGCAAAACAATCCTTATATTCTCTAAGCAACAAGATCAGTTCAGCTTTAAAGTCAGGTTCTAGAAGATCACATATGTAGGTTGGCTAAGGCTCTTCTTCTGCTACTAAATTGATCTCCAACAAGGGATCC